CACCAAACCAGGTATTAAGTTTGGCTTTTTTAAAAATCAGGTTTTGACTTTATTTAATAAAAAATCAGGTTTTAATTTTACAATTAATATTAATAATAATATTTTAAATTAAATTAATCTATATACCCACCCTACTACCTATCCCACCAAATTTATTTTAACTATAAAACCATGTCTAAACCCTAATCTATTTCATTTCTCTCCCCTCTCACCCGACGCCTCCATCGCCACTGCCCGCCGCCTCTTCCCCTTCCCCCTCCCCTGATCTCTCTCTCCTTTCCTCCCTTCTCCCTCCATATCGTCTCCACTCTGTCACAACAGTCGCGGCGCTACTTCGGCGTCGCAGTAGCGTCGCGACTGCTGTGTCATGTCAGCGTCGACGCTGGTGCGACACAGCAGCGTCGACGCTGCTACAAGGGAGGTGGGTGGGTGGACCAAAATGATTTGTGGATGTGGGGGCGTTGATCTGTGGGTTGGGTGGGTGGACCAAAACGACAGCGTCGATCTGTCGATCTGTTGCAGTTGGAGGTGGCGATCGCCACAACTAGAAAATCTTTCAGATTGCTCTGGCGTGCGGAGGTGGTGGTTGTCGGGGTTTTGATGTGCTTGTGGTTGACGGTGGTTGCGGTGGCGGTCCGTGTGGACGGTTGTGTGGTGTTGTGGCAGAGTCGACGGTGGTGGTGGTGTTTTTTTTGGTGTGGTGGTGCGAGCGACAATGTGATGGTTATTTTTTGTTATTATTATGGCGGTGGTTGTGGTGGTGTTGTAACAGGGTGATGATGGTGGTGTTGTAACGGGGTGATGATGGTGGTGTTGTTCAAGGGGCGACGGTGGTGTTATTGTTGGTAGGTGTTTTAGGGATTGGGGTCGGCGGTGAGTGGGACAAAGTGTCTGTCTATGACATGTGACCAAGTATTGGTGGTGTTTGGGATTGGGGGACGAGTGTTTGGGTGTATGTGACCAACTATATCGATCTGTGACAATTATATAGTTCTATTTAACTGTAACCTTAAAATTTGTTAATCTGTGACTCAAAATATAATTTTAGACCAACTAATTTTCTTAATTTGTGACTAATTAAAAATCTGTGACTTACAATTTTTTTCAATTGTGACCAATTAATTTGATATCTGTGAGCTTGGAATCGGAACAGTTACCGAAATTAAGCGGCGGCCAACAGTCATCGAAAAATAGTCGCCGGAATTAAGGACAGCTGGAGAACAGTAGCCGATCGACGGAGTGGTCGCCGGAGTAATCGCCGGTCACCGGAGTGGTAGTCGAAGCAATGGAGGTAGAGGTGGAGGTAGAGGTAGAGGTGGGGTGGAGTGGAGTGGGTCAGTGGGGTGGGTCAATTATATAAATATTATATTACATTTAAATATTTAATTTAATCGATTAATTGTAAAATATAATTAATT